GTCAAGTTCGTCGACCTTGGACGTCAGGGAGCGGAGATTACAAATTAAAAGGTTTGGTATTTTGGTGGAGGGTAACGTAGACTCAAATTTTAAGCGTTCAAGTGTATTAGTTTTTTGTACTGAATAGGAGAAGGCACCACTCAAGGGGTTCCAGTAGCTACGCATGATCAAATCAGATGATGCTCTTGAAGTTAAACATGTCGCTTTTGCTGACGATCTATGTGGTGCTAGTAAGCTTGCTACGGTATGGTCCTGGTGGGACAACATTGTTTTGTATGTTCCTCTTTTGGGTTACCACCCACGAGCAGATAAATCCTGGTTGATAGTAAAACCTAATTTCGACAAAAAAGGGAAAAAAATCTTTGTTGGTACAAAATTTCGTATCACAACGGAAAGACATTATTGGTTCGAAGAAAGGGAGATCTGATAACGTTAGTTGTCTGATTGGACGATGGTGCAATCAACTTGAAGTGCTAAGTAATATTGCAAGACTTCAGCCACAAGCAGCGTATACCGCATTTACCTCCGGATTTTGACATCGCTTTACGTACCACATACACGAACTATTCCGGACATTCAGAACGAAACGCATCTGATTGATACGATGCTTCTTCTTGCGCTTTTGGACGGTCGTAGCCTTTCCTTGGATGACAGAAAGTTACTGTCATTGCCTACGCGACTTGTATAAAAGATCGTCTGCCAAGAACTGACGGGTAATATCTTTGAACAGAACAACACGACAACAGATCAAAGTAGTAGAACACTACTCAACGACCTAAGATCAAACATGACAACAGAACAGATTCGAGCGAATGATATAGCCCAACAGAAAGGATCGTCAATTTGGCTGACGGCACTCCCACTGGCAAACGAAGCGTACGTTCTCAACAAGTGAGACTTTTACGATGCTATCTACCTACGATACCGGTGGCAATTGAAACGCCTTCCATCATATTGCGCGTGTGGAAAATCATTCACAGTGGACCATGTCGTATCCTGTTTGAAAGACGGATTTGTTCACCGACGACATGCATGACGAGATCCGTGACCTATTGGCGACGGTGATTAATGAAGTGGCTTATGACGTATCTACAGAACCAGCCCTAACTCCTCTGACTGGTGAAGTACTACCGCCAAGCGCAAATTCAGCGGATCATGCCAGAGTTGATATAGCTGCAAGAGGTTTCTGGCAGAGATGTGAAAAGGCATTTTTTGATGTCAGGGTTTTTAACCCTTATGCCCCAACACTCGATGCCAGAGTCTCGTAAGTTCTTTCAACGGAAACGAAAGAGAGAAGAGACAGTACAACCAGCGTATTGTCGAGGTCGAGCATGGCTCTTTCACACCTGTAGTTTTCAGCGCGTATGGGGGTTGTGGGAGAGATACTCATTGTCACTGTCACTTTTGGGAGAGACGATTGCCTCAAAGAAGAATTTGGCACACTCTATAGTGATGAGCTGGCTAAGAAAAAAAGATCGCGTTTTCCCCACTCCAAGCCCAACTGCTGTGTGTGCAAGGTGGTCGAACATTGAAGAAGCTTCCATCATCGTCAACCTGTGACATTGAACTTTCAGAGTGGAACTCCAATATCGTTTAATAACTTGTTGAATCTTTATTGAGGTATTTTTAACCCCTCTTGTCCCAAAAAAGCTTTGGAAAAAAATTTGGGACGTTTTATTTTCGCAAACAAAACAAATTTTGAAGAATTTTGAAATTAAATATTTTAAATTAAAACTACACAGGTTTTACAGACTTCAGGTTTTTGCCATCGCCAACATTTTCCAGACAACATTTTTGAGGGGGGCCTGAAAAGAAGGGGGGGGGGGGCAAACTTTTGAGTTCACTACCCCCCCCCCAACCATATATCGCTTGGCACGTCCCTCATGAACCCATTAAGTTGCATTGTGAAATTTCCATCTACAAATCCCTTCTACAATTATGCAAGGTGTAGGGCTGTAATGTTGCTAAAATGTTACGGTCCCAAGGGCTGGGGATTTAGTTTGGTTTGCCTAATGGAGTGTGAATTTATACTATATTATTGTATAAAGCTAGTATAGTGCTTTTTATTATATAGTAGAGAGTGAGATACTGAAAAATACACAGTGAGATATTTTCCATATCTTCACTAGTGAAGATATCGATCACATGACTTTTTCCAATTTGCTTTTGAGCGTGAAATTTCACAATTTTTTGCTTTGGACTACATAATAAACAGAACATTACACAGTGACTTGAAGATATGACTTTTATCTTCGAGTGGTTTATCTTCGAGTGGTTTATCTTCGACTTTTATCTTCGAGTTACCCGATCCAATCTAGCTGAAATATTGTAACTGTGATCTGATCTAAAAAAGCATATCTTATATGTAATACTTCAATTATTTATCACCATGCTAAAAACAACATAATGGCAGATTGACAATTTGGCAAAAACGCATAATGAAAATTTTTTGCAAATGTTTTACAAAATCCAATCCAATCCGAACACATAAAATTTGGTCTAAATCCAATCGGATTCACACACCTCTCAGTTTCATCTCAATACATCCTCCTCCTTGAAGCTATGATATATATCATCATACAGATGCACTTTTATGTATTATGTATATCACCCTATGAGGCACCTAACCCATCTAACCCCTCACCCTGATGGGGGGTGGCAATAAACTCTATTCTGTACCTGGGCACTACCCAAGGGACAGACTGGAAAGTTTGTACTGTGCGCTCGAGATCTTGGTTGCGCAATTTTTTTTCAAAATGCGCACCCAGACATGCAAATTTCAAAAAATGAGCTGTCAAACGCGCAATTTTAAAAACGAGGTGTGAACAAAATTGAGATTGCACCATTTTTCAAGCACACACTTGCATGAATTTAAAATTGCACAATTTTTCAAACACGTGCAAGAAATATCATGATACACGGGAACCACAATTTTTCAAGCGCACGCTCACATGAATTTAAAATTGTGCAATTTTTCAAGTGCACACAAGAAATATCGCGATACACCACAAGCGGCCCAATCTCGCAAAGGTCAGTATAGACATATAGTATAAATGTATAATATATTATAATAATGTATATTATAGTAAAAATATGTCATAAAATATAAATTTTAAAATGAAATTAATTGACTTGCCTATTTGATAGTGTGTGTTCTCCTTGCATTCCTCCTTTGTTGGACTAATATTTTCCGAGACTTTGTACTCGATGTTACTAGTATACATGAAACATGATAAAGGCTAACTATTTCCGATCGTCTATCTGACGGTACGGCACTTCGAATCGAAAATTCTCACACTTAAATCGCTTTATTCTCCAAAACAATTCGCCAGCATGTACAACAAATGCCGTTCTTCGAAAATACGGAGGTACTTCGGCGAGATGTACAAGTTTTGGACCATATTTTAACAATGGAAATCAAAACCCATTTTATATTGAACTTGCCCAGACCGAAAATTACTACGGCGTACCCTGCGCAACCAGGCCTCCTAAAACCGTTGGGATTTACGGGGGGGTGGGGGGTGGGGGTGGGGAGGATGCCGCCTGCCCACTTCCCGCTTTTTGGTATTCACATGCTGTGCAATGGGAAACAACATATTGGCATTGCCGTGTATATATCACATATGTAATTATTATAATAAGAAATGTATTTAAAACAATTTATGATGTCTATATATCAAATTTCAAATTATCCTTTTATATAATGATCATATTTCGAATTAATGTAACCCTCCCATGCATCCAACATTTGGAGGCCTGGTCACACAGGGTTCGCCGTAGTAATTTTCGGTCTGGGCAAGTTCAATATAAAATGGGTTTTGATTTCCATTGTTAATTAAAATATGGTCCAAAACTTGTACATCCGTATTTTCCTCCGTATTTTCGAAGAACGGCATTTGTTGTACATGCTGGCGTATTGTTTCGGAGAATAAAGAGATTTGAGTGTGAGAATTTTCGATTCGAAGTGCCGTACCGTGAACATAACAAATCCTACATGTTGATTGGTCAAATCTGACGTAATAAGCTGTAATCAGTTTGTGGAAGTTTACTGACAAAGAAATAAGTGAAATTAAAATAAATTCAGTCTCAAAAAACACAAAAGCTTGTGTAAAAATACTAAAACAATTATTCGCCTCAGGCTCAGCGATTATCGGGGAATATTCACCTCGACTTTGTCTCGGCGAATATTCCCCGATAATCACCTCACCTTCGGCGAATAATTGTTAAATATCAACACTTGTGGAAATTGGGAAAACGAGAAATTGTGTGGAAACACGATGCCTGAAGGACGGAGTGTTTTCACACAATGTCGACTGTATATCAATACAGAAAAAAATTTTTTATTTGTTTTATAATATAGCAGAAAGAAACATAAAGAAAGAAATTTTCCGACGTTTCCGTGTTGACATTGAGTTATATCATCACGGCTCTTAGCCAATCAGCGTTCAGAATTTACAAAAGCTATAAAAATGTAATTTGTTTCACGTTTGTTTCGCATTTTATGGAAATTCCAAATTTGTATTGACAGTATTGTCACAGGCACTACCCCATTCATAACATCGCTAGATAAAATCAGGTTTACATACTAACATATACTATAAAGGTAGATATGTAAAAATCGTCGATAAAAATCTTACATATTTGACTGCCGGTTCTTGTTGTTCAAATGTTGTAGATAGAAATATCGGTGGTACAACAGCATGGCATTTCCATTTATCAGGTTCGTTACCAATGTGAATAGCTTTCGTTGCAAAGTGAGAGAAATTACTCATGATAATAAAAGGCACTGTGGTTATTCTACGAAATCCTGATGAATCAAAAGAACACAGCACACGACGCCTCTCTTCCGCAATGCAGTATTGCAGCACAGAAGAGATAAGGGCAGAAGGTTCACTCAAGGGTAAAAAGTGTGCCAGAATCATACAGAATGTGAGCCGACTTCCGGTGTGGCCGCCATGTTGAAAGCAACCAAACCAGAGGAAATTTTATAGGAGTTAATATGGCGGAATACGAAATAGAGCCACTAAAAGTGCTCTAGCTTTTTATGTATCCAAGCAAAACTCATGATACTTTGAAATATCATAAAGAAGAGGTTGTTCTTTGATTTAATTGTTACTACGAGGATGAAAACGAATTTAAGCGTGGAATTTGGCCATTGTCATACATCGATTAATTTCACCTCGGTCTTTGGCGAATAGTGATAAACATATAAAGTTATATAGCTTATGTGTGGTTAGTCCGATCGCCGTAAAATATGTTTTGAGTGATAAGTTGGTGATATTTCATGGTGTACAAAAAGATTAAGGACGTGAATGCCATAACAATGAAGGAAATAAATCCAGTTCATCGGACCTTCAGTGAATCTGTGATCAACTATTCAATACAGTGTAATTCAACTTGGCATATTGGCCTGCAATCGTATAAAATAATATTGCGATATGAAAGAAATTGCTAGACCTACTTCTTCTAAAATAAATTTTAGGGATAATATATTGACTTGAACCTATTAAAATCCTTTAGCTGTGACTTTACAAATTTGGTATCACAAGTGTGTCAAGTCACAACTGACAAGGCCTCCTTTGACATTATCAAGGAACCTCATTTACAAAACAGACAATAAAAGACCTGATTTATCTTAATGACAGTTTAAATTATAAATCTGTGAGATTCTAATATACACTCTAGTTTTTAAGATACATATTAACAGTTTACTCTACAATGAGGGGAAAATAATCTGAAGATGAGAATTTTCTCTGTTACTCAAGTTTATGTTACATTTAGCACCAAGTATATTATTGTTGCTATCACCTTAGGGGTTGTTTACATGAGCCCGGGTAGCCATGTAGGCTGGCCCGGTTAACCAGGCTGAAGGCCTGGCTAGCCAGGTTACATGAGCTGGTGACTTTACATGGGAAAATTCCAGCCTGGTTATCCGGGCGTCCCCTTTGACTCAAGTGAGATCTCGGCTAGGCAGATTCTTGTTAAATGATTTGTATTAAGCTGGGTGCCTCGGTTAACAGGACTAGTCAGGCTCATGTAAATAGCCCCTTAGTTATTAAGACTTGTTGGCAGAGTAAAATATATCAGGCAATAAAACTGGTTTCAACTTGCAACAAATCGGATGTTGGTGCATGTAAGTTGTAGTGTTGTTTTTTACAAAGGGAACCAAGTAAATGAAACTTTAACATCTAGTGTATTCTACTATGTACAAGTTGTACAACCCCAAAAATGTAAACAACACTTTGATTTGATTTTAGTTCCATAAATCCATATTTTTTATCCATATTATCAATCCATATTTAATTTGATTTTAGTTCCATAAATCCATATAATTTAGTTCCATAAATTTGAGTTTAGATCCATAAATCTATTAAGATCTGCAACTGTCCTACATGCACAAATGCCATCCAATGTAATGACCTAGATGATAACAGGAAGCAGTTTTGTTTCTTCAAGGCCTTTGATCAAACAGAAAACACATTTGAAGGTCTTCATGTTCCAACAAATTGCTTTCTGGACTACATCATGAAAGATACAAAAATTGTTTTTGAGGTTGTGCATTTACTACAGCTTGAAATTTGCCAATCGTGAACTTTCCAACACTAAAAAGAAGAACAGAAAATATTTGAAGGTAGCACATCTTTAACCATGTGCACTGGACAATATGCTGTGTTGCCAAAACAATTAATCAATATAACTTCTACAAGTTATATTGCTTAAAATCTTTTACACCAAGTACATAAGAACTGAACTGTAAGATACAAGGCTGGTGTTAAATCTAATATTGATGGTAATCATACACAGGAGAAATTACTAATATGTTGCTACACTGAGTAAATTTATACCAGGCAAGCTGAAAAATCAACTTTACCACAGTAAGAATGCAGCCCACAACCCCTGGTTTACAAGACCAATGCATTCCAGACTGAGCTACACAGTTTGAATGTGCAATATTTTATTATTTTGGAGCTTAATTAGTCTCGCTCCTTCACTAAGATGGTAAACCTAACAATGCCGATGGTAATTGATAACAGGTGAAATCATTAATTAAGATGGTGCTTGCTGAGTAAATCTACATGAGATTGGTGTGTTGCAATTTTGGGTCATGAACTGTAACTTCTGGCAAGTTAGTCTGCTCCACCATCAATTGCTTGATACAGATGTGAACAAATATCGTACTCATTACTGTTACCAGCAATCAAAGTTTAATATCAAAGTTACAAATTATAAACCAGTTCTGGTGAAAATGGATTCTACTCGCGCAGTTTACTTAGTTTAGTCCAAAAACGTTTTTGTTAATTAAGAAAAGAAGCCCAATACAAAGACATCACATCCCCTTTCACTGATCAGGTATATAATTTAGTACGAATAGTAGTACGAATTATAAGGATATTCACAGTATAATATGCGCCTAAAATTAAAAAAATTCAACCTACTGCGTTCTAAAAACAAGACATGACGCATTTTTCTTCAAGTTAAGTGGATTAGTAGTTGCAATAGTTTCAAACTACACTCAGAAAAACAACATATAAATGCGTATATATCCATCGGTGCCAAAACAGCACATACAGTTTGCTGCGTTTAAAATGACAATTTTAGCATCATTCAATAAACTTTTATTATAATAAAATGAATAATCTACCTTTCTTTTGTACGTCCTGAAAATTTCAATGACATCCACCATAAAATAACGACGATATACCCATTTAAAGTTATGAAATACAAGTTTCGCCATATTAGTTTATAATGTTTTGGACCAGAGTTGGTTGCTTTCAACATGGCGGCCAGGATCCGGAAGTAACATGTGCCGGCCACTGAGCTATACTATATTACTGGAGGAAGTGCTCGGCAAAAAAAGTGTCCGCAAAAACATGGCGGATTTTCGCG